TCAATTGTCAAACACCTGACAATTGCCTCTTCTCTCTACAGTTTTTTGTACCTACCCCAGATTAACTTTTCTGTAATACTGAATTTCTGCTATTTCAACACTCACTCTCCATGGCTTCCTCTTGCCTTCAGGATAAATCAGGAGTCTCTAGAATAATGTGAAACTAACTCAGAGACACATCACAGGGTGTGGTCTCCATCTTCATTTATAATCTTATCCCTGATTACTCACCAATATTCTCTAGCTGCTAGGGTTTGAATGTTTGTCCCTCTAAAAAACTCATGTTGAGGGCCGACCCTGTGGCGCACTCGGGAGAGTGCGGCGCTGGGAGCGCAGCGACGCTCCCACCGCGGGTTCGGATCCTATATAGGAGTGGCCGGTGCGCTCGCTGGCTGAGCGCGGTTTGGGGTGACACCACACCAAGGGTTGCAATCCCCTTACCAGTCACAAAAAAAGACAAAAATAAATAAATTAATTAATTAAAAAAATAAAATAAAATAAAAAACTCATGTTGAGACTTAATCCCCAATGTGGCAGTACTGAGAGATTGGACCTTTTAGAGGTGATTGGGTCATGAGGACTGTGCCCTCATGAATTGATTAATCCACTTACGGATTAATGTGTTACTTAATTAATGGATTATCGTGGGAGTTGGATTGGTGGCTTTATAAGAAGAAGAAGCTACCTGAGCTACCCCTTGCCATGTGATGCCCTGCACCACCTAGGGACTCTCCAGAGTTCCCAGCAGGAAGAAGACCTTCACCAGATATGTCCCCTTAACCTTGACTTCCCACCCTCCAGAACTATAAGAAATACATTTATTTTCTCTATAAATTACTGAGTTTCAGGTATTCTTTTAAAAGCAACAGAAGATGGACTAAGACACTAGCCAAATAACATGTTACTACTTTGCACTGGTCCCTCCCTCTTTTCTAACCCTATCCATTTTTTAGTGTTTCAGCTTTTACAGCTGTGTAACTAATTAACTGAGAACTTCGTGGCATAAATAAACATTTATTATGTTCACTAATCCTGTGGGTTGGGAATTTGAACAGGGCACAGAAGGACAAGTTATCTCTGGTTCACAATGTTTGAGGCCTCAGCTGGATGACTGTCATGCCAGAGGCAAAAGTCATCTGGAAGCTACTTCAATTACAAATCTAGGGGATGATACTGGCCATTGGCTGGGGGCCTCAGTTCCTTTTCAGATGGACTCTCCCTGAGGGCTTCTTCATGTGGCCTCTCTGCATAGGCTAGTTTGGGATTCCTCACAGCATGTTGGCTGATTTCTACACAATGACTTCCCGCAAAAGAGAAAGCCATTTGGAAGTTATATTCTTTTTTATAACCTAGCTTCAGAAGTGATGTAGTATTATTTCCACTATACTGTATTGGTTGGAGCAGTCACAGCATTCCAAGGTTCAAGGGGGAGGGTAAACAGAGTCTACCTCTTGATGGAGGGTGATGAGATCCTGGAAGAGCATATACGACTGGAAATATTGTTGCAGTCATTTTTAAAAAATTATAATGTGCCACAGTCAAGGACTGCAGTTTGTATCCCATTACCTCTTTTAAACTTTCGTAGGCTAATATAGGTTATACCAGCCTTTCCCTTCTCAAGTCTTATAATCTGTGCTCTCAGTTACCTCCAGTATATTCCTTAGACTAGTTAACTTTCCATGTGTATCTGTTTTACCTCCCCTAAGATACTGCAAATTACTTTAATGCAAAAACCTCACTTTCCATCAATAAATTAATTTCTGTATTTTTATTTTCCACAGGATCTAGCATAAAGCTTTGGACATAGTTGGTGCTCAGTAAACATCTAGATTAAAGACAGATAGGCTTAGAATAAAATGAGAAATTTGGCTTTTATGCATTGTAAATGAATATGGTAGATAGTCTTTGTAAAGAGTGCAGTGGTGGGGGGGGATAGTGGATGTGTTACTGCAGAAAAAAGTGAGCAAGAATCACATGTTAAGCACAAATAAATGTGTTTGGGCTGAATGAAACATTCAAGCTTAAATGTCAATAAGTCGGGGCCGGCCCGGTGGTGCACTGCTACAGTGCGCCGCTTGGGAGCGCGTTGGCGCTCCCACCGAGGGTTCGGATCCCACATACAGACTGGTTCCCGCTCGCTGGCTGAGCGAGGTGTGGGCGCAGCACCGAGGGTTGCGATCCCGTTGCCAGTCCCGGTCCGGTACGGGCGCAACACTGAGGGTTGCTATCCGTTGCCGGACACGAAAAAAGACAAAAAGGAAAAAAAAAAAAAATGTCAATAAGTCATGATGGCAGTGAATGTGAGGTACATTTCTGCATCGTAGATATTTAATTTTAAATTCAAAAAATTTTTAAAAATTCATTTAATTAATCCAAATTATATTCATTGAAATTATTATTTTTTAAATATGAAATTTAAAACAATAACACTGTAATTTATTTATTTATTGTTTTTATTATTTTAATTTTTCAATATACAACATAGTTGATTTTCATGTCCCTTTACCAATTCCTCCTTTTCCTCCGTCCCTCTCCCTCCTCACTCCCCCCATCAACATCATATCTGTTCACTTCTCTTAACAAGATCAAGGAATTATTGTGCTTGTGTCTTCTCTGCCTGTCCCCCCATTCATTTGTATATTTACTTACTTATTTATTTTTATTAGCTCCCACAAATAAGTGAGAACATGCAGTGTTTCTCTTTCTGTGCCTGGCTCATTTCACTTAATATAATTTTCTCTAAGTCCATCCATGTTGCTGCAAATGGTAGTATTTCATTTTTTTTAATAGCAGAGTAGAATTCCATTGTGTAGATATAGCACATTTTCCTTACCCACACATCCGATGATGGGCATTTAGGCTGGTTCCAACTTTTGATTATTGTAAACAGTGCTGCAATAGACAGGGGATTGCAGGCATTCCTTCTACATGATTTCCATTCCTCTGGATATATTCAGAAATGGAATAGCTGGGTCATATGGTAGATCTATCTGTAATTGTCTGAGGAATCTCCATACCATTTTCCATAAAGGCTGCACCATTTTGCAGTCCCACCAACAGTATAGGAGAGTTCCTTTTACTCTGCATACTTGCCAGCATTTGTCATTCTGAGTATTTTGGATATTAGCCATCCTAAATGGAGTGAGATGGTATCTCAGAGTGGTTTTGATTTGCATTTCATGAATGCTGAGTGATGTTGAGTATTTTTTCATATGTTTATTGGCCATTCATTTATCTTCCATTGAAATTATTAAATTTAACTCTGCTGACATTTAACTGAGAGCTGATAAGACCAATGGGCCAATAAGAGTAGATATTATAATATTTTGTATTTTTCAAAAGTGTATAGCTATATTAAGAAAAACATTTGTTTTGATTAATTTACTTTTATTTCTTTTTAAAAATTTAAAAATAGTACATGTTTATTATAACAAGCCAAGATGTACAGAGAAAAAACAATTGCCTTTTGTTTTCCAATCCTATACTGAAGATATCAGTTTTGGTTTGCTGTATGTTTTCACAGCTTTCTCTATGCTTATTTTGTATAATTCCCAGTGTTCATATATTACTTATTATATTGTTTGTACCATAGTTTATTATTCTTAAATATACAGGGCTAGTGGTTATGTCAATGGTAATTTCTCTGTGTCATGCTTATGGAATCTGCATATTAGGATGTGAATGAATATCCACTGTGGCCAGAGCACAGGGCGTTGGCAACAGCAGGGTGGGGGGAGGCTAGAAAGATCAGGAGGGTGTGACAGTGAATGGTCTGGAACACCAAACCAGGTAATCAACAGTGGGTGGGGAGGGGGCATCCAGGGCTTTTTGAGAAGGGGTGTGTTACAGATTCACTCCTGAATTTCAAAATAAAGTATTAAAATTTACTTTGATTTTCCTGACAACACCATGAGTTGAGGCAGTGAGGTCCCCTGTCCTGCACTGGAGTATCAGTTATTGCTTTAAGAGGCTAATTTATCGACTTTTTGGCAAACTAGTGGATTTGATATTTTATTTATTTATTCATTCATTCATTCATTCATTCATTCATTCATTCATTCATTTTCCCAACTGTGACCTGATTCCAAGAAAAAAAGCTAGCTCCAAATTACGCTCTCTCTAAATACTTTAACTTCCTTCCCCAAATGTAAGGTCTTGAGATTTCTTTTTTTTTTTTTCAAATTTTATTTTATTTTGTCAATATATAATGTAGTTGATTATTGTGGCCAATTATTGAAACCTCCTTCCCTCCTCTCTCTTCCCCCTCCCTCCCAACAATCTCCTTTCTGTTTGCTTGTTGTATCAACTTCAAAGAATTGTAATTGCTGTGTCTTCTTCCCTCCCCAACCCCAGGTTATTTGTGTATTTCTTTATTTTTAACTCCCACAAATAAGTGAGAACATGTGATATTTCTCTTTCTGTGCCTGACTCGCTTCACTTAATATAATTCTCTCTAGATCCATCCATGTTATTGCAAATGGCGGTATTTCATTCTTTTTTATAGCAGAGTAGTATTCCATTGTGTTGATATACCACATTTTCTGTATCCACTCATCTAATGATGGACATTTGGGCTGGTTCCAACTCTTAGCTATTGGAAAGAGTGCTGCAATGAACATTGGAGAACAGATATACCATCAACTTGATGATTTCCATTCCTCTGGATATATTCCCAGCAGTGGGATAGCTGGAGTCATATGGTACATCAATCTGCAATTGTTTGAGGAACCTCCAAACCATTTTCCATAGAGGCTGCACCATTTTGCAGTCCCACCAACAGTGTAGGAGGGGTCCTTTTTCTCCACAACCTCGCCAGCATTTATCGTTCACAGTCTTTTGGATATTAGCCATCCTAACTGGGGTAAGACATTAGAATAGTTTTATTTCAAACATTAATTTGTAGAATATAATTGTGTGTGTAACTATAACCTTGAAAGCTAAAAACATGCTTGGTAGATATTCAGAGTTACGTATTTATATATAACTGTTATGTATTTAAGATGGCCGATCACAGTGAAGTGATGAGAGGCATTCATCAATATCCAGGAGTTCGATATCCTGTCCTTACTCCTAATCTTCAGGGTTTTCACCGTGCCGTAAGTATGCTACTAATTTTTTCTAAAATTGATATGCCTCTATTTTTTAAAATATATTTAAAAAGTTAGAATGGTGTCATATGTAACTCACTTGTAATCCTGTATAAATACTGTGCTAATATACCAACATGAATACGTAGAGATGAGTTCTCTCTCATGGCATCGTTAGGAACTAACATTGCTCCATGTAAGAGGCTTTTCCAGTTTAACCATTCAAGAGTCAAAACATAAAAAGACAACTCTCCATTTTGATGAAATTTTTTGAAATTTTTCTCCAATAGAAAATATAGTGTACAACTTAAACATTTCTCAATGCAATTTTGTAATTATAGGTACTATTGAAGTAGGTAATTATTCTTGTCAACTTTTTTGTCAGCTTTTTGTTTCTGATGTTTCTTCCTTTTAGGTGAAGCTAATCATTGTCATTGTATCTGCCTCTAATAACTTTCCTTATTCCTCTTCTGATTTGTTTCTTCTGATCCTATGGGACTTAGTGATTTATATGATTTAAATGAAAGCTTCAACGATTAAACATACACATACAAGCTTAAGCAAAATCGTATGATATTATGCTTTCATGGGTTTATCGCAAAGGTTTTGCTGCAGTTATATGTGGTATTAACGAATATTTTTCACTTTTGTGTTTGAGATTGTATTGCACAACGTTGAGATTGTGGAGTGCTAGTAAGTGTATCACTTTTTACTGTATCTTGTTAGAATCATTGATCTTTTTTGTTGTCGTTTGATTTGATATAATTTTTACTGCAGTGTACAGAAAGGAAGGAAGAGGCATTTTAAGAAATTGTAAACATTGCTGTCACCAGTCCTAACATAGTACATGACATTTCTACCTTAAGTAAGATATTGAGAGGACACCCTCGTTGTAGCTTAGAAGGGTAAGCAATGGAGGGAACCAATCTTGGCTTGACAGTCAGGCAGGCCTGTGCTCAAAACTCAGCTCCAGACCTTCTACTGGCTGTATAATGTCCTACTAGCAACTTCTTCGAGCCACAGTTTTTCCATTAGTAAATGAGCGTAATATCACTCAGTTTACAGAGTTGTTTGTGGATTACAAAAAGGGCATTTCAAAGAGTGTTTGTGGCAAGATTAGAGGAATATAATTTTAAATTCCAAGGCAAATTTTAAAGAATACAAGAGTGCCTTACAGAGTTGACTTCTACTGCTATTGTTTACATTTTTGAAATTATTAGCTTTTGGCTTTAAATTATATTTTTCAGGTTGCAGCTGGAGCTACTGAGATATCAGTTTTTGGAGCTGCATCTGAATCCTTTAGCAAGAAGAATATTAACTGTTCCATTGAAGAAAGTATGGGAAAGTTTGAAGAGGTCGTTAAGTCTGCAAAACATATGAATATTCCAGTACGAGGGTACTTATGAAATCCCACAAATTCTTTCAATTTTGTTGATATCTGTTGTTAAAGTTGCTTTTGAATTATCTTGATATTCTTTTACTATTTATTAAAATATACATAGGGTATCTTATTTGTACTTTATTTAATCATGGTAATCACTATATAGTCACATTCATTAATGTTATTAATGATTATTAGTGTGTATCTAGCTTGTGGAAGTTGTAATGCAATTGAGAGCAGAGACACTAGCATGGAAAGCTGGTATTATTAACCATTTTATTTACACTCAGTTATCCAAATGCATTCCTCTTTTGATATCAGCCTAGAATGTGTTGATAAACTGTTATAAATTCATAGCATTTGGAAAGGAATCACTCTATGGTGATTCAAGTTAGAACTTCAATAGACTATGTTAAACATTAAATTGAGCCCCTGAGCTGCTCTGGGATGTTGGGCCCATCATTTTACCCATTCAACCTCCCCCCTCAACAGCTGATTTACCTACTTTCTCTGGGTGACCCCAAAGTACCTCCACAGCACCTGGCAGAACACTGTCTAAAAATTCTTGACAAACTGCATACAGAAGACACATGGAATAGTTTTTCAGTTCTCCACTATTTTCTATTATATATTATATTATTTCTGTTAATGGAGGTATATTGGAGATACAGGTCCTTTTCTCTTTGCCTTGTCTCTGTCTTGTAGAAACTGCATTGCTTATGGTCTGAACTATCAGACTTCTATTTCAGTAGACCCATTTTCTTTCTCAGGAATTTAGACATGGGAAACCAAATATGGTTACCTGAGTTGAAAGATTAATGTGATTTTGCCACGAGTTCACAAGACAGAATAGTAGAGAACAGAAATGGGAAAAGAAGGAGGATCTTACCAGTGATGAGAGATATATGGGAAAGGAAAGAGAAAATCTGCCTTGGTCCTTGCCTGCTTCCAGGAGCAGCAATTACAGCATGTATTGTAACCAGGCCTATGTGCTGTGAAATATATAATACATTTTTTGTTACTTATGAAGAATTTGTTTCTAAAAATTAGCTAATTTTATATTGATTTTATAAATATGGAGGTGTAATGAGCATATCATGTTATCTTTTTTACTGAAATATAATTATACATATTTGTGGGATACAGAGCAGAATATCAATACCTGCATACTATATGTGCTGATCAAATCAGGATAATTACTATATTCATCATTATAAAACATAATCATTCTTTGTGACCCCAACCTGTTTCTTGATATTCTCCCCCTCCACATTTCCCACCTCTAGTAACCACAGTTCTGTTCTCTCATTTTGAAGGTTCATTCCTTCCTTCCTTCCTTCCTTGTGTATTATCATGGTTGTTTCTTTTCTTCCTTCCTTTTTTCCTTCCTTTTTTCCTTCCTTTTTTCCTTCCTTTTTTCCTTCCTTCCTTCCTTCCTTCCTTCCTTCCTTCCTTCCTTCCTTCTTCCCTCCCTCCCTCCATCCCTCCCTCCCTTCCTCCTTCCTTACTGTTTTTTAGCCCCTTATGACTGAGGACATGTGGCATTTCTCTTTCAGTGCCTGGCTTATTTCACTTAGCATAATTTTCTCCAAGCTCATCCATGTTGCTGCAAATGGCAGAATTCCATTCTTTTTTATGGAAGAGTAGTATTCCATTATGTATGTATACCATATTTTCCTTATACAGTCATCTGTTAATGGACATTTAGGTTGGTTCCTACTCTTAGCTACTGTAAATAGAGCTGTGATAAACATGGGAGTGCAGGTATCCCTTCGACATGATGATTTCCATTCCTTTGGGTATGTAGGCAGTGGTGGGATAGCTGGATTGAATGGCAGTTCAATCTGTAGCTGTTTAAGGAATCTCCACAGTGTTTTCCATAATGGCTACACTAATTTACAGTCCCACCAACAGTGTAGTAGGGTTCCCTTTTCTCCACATCCTCACCAGCATTTGTTATTCTCTGTCTTTTTGATAATAGCCAGTCTAATTGGGGTGATCTCAATGTGGTTTTGATTTGTATTTACCTGATAATTAGTGATGTTGAGTATTTTTTCATGTGTCTGTTGGCCATTTGTATACCATGCTTTGAGAAATGCCTATTCGCTCCTTTACCCATTTTTTAGGCGGATTACTTGTTTTTTTTACTGTTAATTTGTTTGAGTTCCTTATTTATTCCGTATATTAATCCCTTGTTGCATGTATAGTTTACATATATTTTCTCCCATTCTGTAAGTTGTCTTTTTACTCTGTTGGTTGTTTCCTGTGCTGTGCAGAAGCTTTTTTGTTTGATATAATCTTATTTGCTTATTTTTTCTTTTGTTGCCTGTGCTTTTGAGGTCTTATTTATAAAGTTTTTGCCCAGTCCTACATCCTGAAGTATTTCCCCTATGTTTTCTTCTAGGAGTTTTATTGTTTCAGGTCTTATATTTAAGTATTTATCCATTTTGAGTTGATTTTGGTATATTGTGAGAACTGTGGGTCTAGTTTCATTCTTCTACATATGGATGTCCAGTTTTCCCTGTACCATTTACTGAAGAGGCTGTCCTTTCCCCAATGTATGTTCTTGGTGCCTTTGTTAAAGACCAGTTGGCTGTAAGTACATGGATTGATGTCTGGGTTCTCTATTCTTTTCCATTGGTCTGCGTGTCTGTTTTTATGCCAGTACCACGCTGCAGTAGATGCTTCAGTACGGCTTACCTAGCAACAGGTGCATCAACATGTACTTGATCATCATTCAGAAAATTTATATCATCAGCTGTTAGATTTAAAGTCATAAGGCAGTACACATTTTATAAATGCTCAATAAAACTGTTTAAATGTTTACAAAAATAGTAAACTTCCATAAAGTCTAAATAGTAGCTTTTATTAGGGTTTTAAGGCTATTGTTAAATCCTCCGCCCCCAAACACACACATCACATGCATGTATACACATTTTTTACTCATACTCAGGACTTATGACATCTGGGACACATTGTGAATAGATACCATGCCAAATCAATGACATAAAATGCAGAGTCAGCTAACTACTGCTGCATATACATTATGTGTGAACGGACAATGAAATGTTTACATTTTGGACTTATTCTTTAACCTGCAAGTCACACGCCATATGTTTTAAAAAGCTAGGTTATTTTTCTATTATGTGTTTAAATTTTAAAAGGTGAAGAAGGCGAAGAAAAATAAAAGTCTATGATAAATGTAATCCCTTCTTCCCCTTACCAAGAGCGTTTATTGAAAGAAATATCTGCTGGTTTTCCAGGATCCTTTTAAAATTGAAATGCCTCAAGATATGAAGTAGTGCTCTAATATATCACACAGCATTCAGGATTTATTGCTTTTTTGTCTAAAGCAATTTGTTGCTTCTTTATCAACTTATATTTAATGAAGTCACATGAATTGCATGGTCTTGTTTGTGAGAGTATTAATTTAAGAGGAAATGATTACTAAGTGGCATGATTAATTTCATTGTTAAAATTCTTGAAAGTAGATATTACAAAATCACAAGGTCAGCATCTCTGTATATCAAAGCATAAACCATAAAAGCGTTTTTACGTAATTACATCTTATACCTCTCCTATAAAATGGTCTAGAATGATTTGACCCATGATTAACCTCCTGAAAATCTGAGCCTACTGAATGTTCAAAGTGTATTTTTAACATTTTTTGTAGGATTCAAACAAAATCATTCATTATTGTTAAAAACATTACAAAATGCAAAGATGTTTATCGGTGAACCATAACTGTTGAATTCCTTCTCAAATTTCCAGAAAAAGTAAATATGCAAAGTAATGAGAACAAGGAGTAAAGGAAAATTAGTAATTAAACTAATATAGACAATCATAGATTACTTTTAGATACAAAAAAGCAAAGGCAATTGTAGGTTATGATGCTGTTTTACTTTAGTCACAATCTCTTTATAAAATATGATTAATATTTATTAATATTCAGGAGGAGGAGTCTGATTTTCCTAGAGCCATAATGAATCTAGAGTGCTCATTTTATTCACCTTTTGATCTACTGTTACCCTCACCACCTACTTTCTTCTTATCTAAAACCAATGGAAATTCAGTCTGGCTTTAAAGATTTCCAAAGGAGATTGAATCACATGCATCAGTGACCCATTTCTTTGGTGAAAGACCCTCAATGACAGGAAATTCTTCCTTTGCTTAATTATTTTTTAACTCGTTACCTAGCTCTATATAATTTCCATCATTTAAAATATCGATGTTCCTAACTGCCATGAAGTAAGGGCCTTGTCTTCCCCCTCAAAATAGCCAATTTTAACTGGTTTTCCCTTTGAGAGAAGATTTATGACTCAACATGTTTATGCACAACTTGCAGCCTGCTTGCTGGGTTAGCCAAACCATCTAGGTCATGTTGCACCGAGGTTTTGTTTCCTGTCCTCTCCCTGTCTAATGCAGAGTATCATTATGGATTCTGATCCTGACCCTGAAGGTAACAGCAGTCTTACTGAGTGAGATAATGTGTCTCCCTATTTAGGGCTCCAGTTTAAAAATACATACTGAATAGCAGTTTCTCACAACTGATGAATCACATACCTTCCACTGGATAATCTACCCCTATAGAATTTGCTTGCTTATATAGCACCATCTCTTAAGTGGGCAGCTTCTTGCTGCCCAGAGAAGTTCCTTTCCAACTTCTATTGTTAAACTGTTGGCCTGGAAGAACGATTCAAATCATCATTTACCAAAATATGGTACATAAAACTGTAAAAATGAGACATCTGTTAAAGGTATTTGCTTTCATACATATGGTTTGTTTGAGGGTTTATATGTATTTCAGCCTTATATATTATTCTGGTACTGCTGTGTGCCAGAATAACACATACCCAGTGGTAGTTAAGATGTGTAAGCTGTGTTTGTGTAGTCAATATCTAAATAGGCTTCATTTAGAGCTTTTGAGGAAAAAAAATGTGTTTTGTCATTTCTCATAAAATTAGCAATAAGACTTTTTATTATTATTTATTCTTTTGCTAGATTTTGTCTTTTTA